TGTGTAGCTGATGCCCTGTCGAATTCATTCGTGGGTCGGCAACTCTTTCCCTCTGTGGGGATCTGGAAGCCCAACAAAGGGACCCGGGGTTTGGTCTCCGCCTTCGTTTCCTGAAAGGGGACGTTGATTACAGTAAATCCTCGTTCCACTGGGATTTGGGGGTAAACCAAGGAGTACTTGCCGTTTTTGTACAGCGGGGCCCCCGCAGCCCATATCCAAAATGGTGATACCGGGATCCATGATATCCCTTTTGGGTTGACCACGATGCCCCAGGGAGCCACCCCGAAGGACGCATATCAAACGGAACGAATAAATTTTTCGGCCAAAGGGGCAGGGGACTTCCCAAACATGTACCAGTGTGTTTTGCCACAGCAAAAGGGGTCCCATTACAATCAACCCCCCTAAAGTTCCCATTACAAAGGAGCCCTGGGAGAAAACTTCTGTCGCCCTTTGAGAACTCTCGACCTCGGAAAAAGGAATAACACCTGTTTTTGGTGAAAAATTTGATGGGGGCGGTGAATATCCCCATTCCGAAAAACCGCCGAAATGGTCGCTATGCTTTCCCCCGAGCAGTTGTTCTTCGTCAACTTCCCACTGTCTCTTCAGACAAAGGGTCTGAGTTTATAATGGCATACTGCCGTCTTTGCTCCAGTTTAACATTTCCCAACGCCCTGCCCACGCCACCCTGCATAATGGCTTGCTGAACGTACAAAACGCAAATCCTGAGGGGCTCAGGGGAACCATTAACCAAGTTTTCTACAGGGTGAGGGTATCCCAGATGTTCGGGGACATTTAAACCCCCTCAACGCTCGATCGGGGAAAAACCCCTTTTGCTTTTTAGGCTAGACAAGCGCTTCCATTAAAAATTTTGTTTGCTCCACCTAGACCTACTTTTGATCTGTAACCCCATTGAAAAAGGAGGACAAGAGCTTGTCTTTCCCGGGGTACAGAGAACCTTATGAAACACTGATAGGTTCACATCTTAGCGCAATGCCCCCCGGGAAGGAAAGCAAAATGGAACCGGTTTCAAAGTTATTGCTCAACCAGCGCGACCCAGGTAGCCAAATTGCCAAAATTTGTGGTCCTTACCTTCCCCACAACAGCTCCGTGGCAATAAGTTCGAGTGGGCGAGATTGCTACGGGGAAATATCAAGGAACCCCCATTGACACTGAAGTGTGTGGACATGTGGGAAAAGGGCCGAAGCAGAGCTGGAGTTGTTGCGTTGCAACCCCCCAATCAACCAATGCTAGGGACAACCCCCCATCTCTTCCCCACTACACTTATGGAAGAGGCCCCGTAAGGGTCCAACTTATGGGCCCCACCCAGGGCAACAAAAATGTCGTGCATTGACTACCTACTGACTTTCACTCCCACCTGTTATCCTAATTGTTTCTTGCAGAAATGGGGGATAAATGGGCACACATTTTAGCAGTTGAAATGGGTCAGGGTGGCAACATCATGTAAATTTTGTAAAATTTTAAAGGGTACCCCGGGTAAAGAATTCCTGGAAAAGTATTTTTGTAGGATGTGCACCCCGTTTTTTATAAAAAAAAAAACCTGTTTTGCGGTCAGGGCAGTGCGCCCTCGAGTTCATTCCCCCTTGAAAACTACTGTCATCATTGTTTGCGTTAAGGGTCAAAAACGTTCGTAGACAAATGTCAACTGATTTTAGCCCTGCGGGCAACATGTATATAAAATTTTAGTTCATGCGACGCCCGGGCCCCCCTCCCTCAATGAATCAGCGCGGGGGAAACCATTTTTCTTACCCCGATGGGGGAGTTTTTTTTGCCCCGTTGCTTGTTACCATTTGTTTCAAGTAGCCAAAACCATCCCCCCTCTGGGGGGGCTTGTAAGTAATTCCTTTATCCCACGGGCACCCTATTGCGCTTCGGACGACGCAGGGCGTGGGCCCAGCAAATGTAGACAGCCGTACTGTCAGAACACACAGCCTAGCCGCTGCTCTGACTGTTCAAATTTTGCGGCATTTTAATGCTACCCCTGTAGGCTCACCCAGGGCAGTGGGAGGCTGAGCCCATTCGCCCTCCTCCAGGGCCCACCGACTTTATGACCACAAGTGCCCCCCTCCCGGGCTGGCTTCGGGCCCCTCCCTCACACTGGGCACTCCCTCACACTGCCCTTGTGTACTCACCCATAATTAAAGCCCTAGTCCACGCGTATCATTGCTACCTATCTACCTTCTCGGGACTAAACCCCGTTCACGCAAGAACAAACAATAACACCGGAAACGAATCTGATCATCTCCGTGTGAACAGAAATTTATCCACCAGAGACGGTACTTGCCCAACTTCTCTACCTCATTCTCTTTTCTGACTTAGACAGAGACATCAGTCATAGCACTGTATCATCCTTTATTGATGATACTAGAATATGTATGAAAGTGATATCCTTTGAAGGCAGCGAGTGTTGGAGGTGGCATATACCAAGTCTTCCAGCAGATCACTGACAACAATATGATGTGCAATGAGGACAATTTTAGTTATAATACATGGAAGAATGGGGGAAATGAAAACAAGATCGGAGTACAAGACAAACTCAAATCACTCAATAGCATGTAGGTAAAATGTGAAAGACCTGGAAGTGATAATGTCAGAAGACCTCACACTCATTGAACACAACAATGTTGTTATTACAACTACAAGAGAAATGATAGGTTGGATAACTAGAATCTTCAAAAGAAGGGTATGTTAAGCCTGTGACGATTTTCTTCGGGTCACTCTCTGTCTATGCTGGAGTATTGCTGTGTACTAACAGCCACCTTCAAGACAGGTGAAACTCCTGAGCTGGAAAATGAACGGAGAACCTTCACTGCTCGTATAAACTCAGACAATCACCTAAATTACTGGAGTGCTTGAAGTCCCCAGAGCTGTAATCCTCAGAACGTAGGTGAGAAAGATGCATCATAGTCTACTCTTGGAAGATAATGGAGGGATTTGTCACAAACCTGCACACCGAAATTACCACTTATGAACATAATATGCTTGGCAAACAATGCAGAACACTTCTAATAAAAAACAGGGGAGCGATGATAATAGTGAGAGAGAACTCAGTAAGTTTTAAGGGACCATGACTCTTCAATAACCTCCGTTCATGAATTAGGAAGATCACTAGCAAGCTCCTAGTTGTCTTCAAGAGGAAACTCTTGAAGGCAGACAGACAGACAGACGAACAACCCGTTTGACTAGTTCCTGGTCAGACGGGTTGTGGTGCACAAGTTGGACCGCAGGCGACTGACACTAATAATATAATATAATAATATCTTTATGTACTACAAGTCCAAGGTATGAAAGCCTAACTGACATCAGTGACTTACTACTGTATAGAAAGCCGCTTGTTATGCAGAGCATTTCGGGCAAATTAGGTCAGTGTTGTCCCAGGATGCGACCCACACCAGTCGACTAACACCCACATACCCACTTTACTGATTGGTAAACATAGATAACCGGTGTAGGGAAACACGTCCAATGTTTCCACCCCTTCGCCGGGAATCGAACTCAGATCCCTGACCGTGTGAGGCGAGAGCTTTTTCCACCAGGCCACGGGCCACCAGCTTGATCAGTCCTGCCAGCAACTAGGAGGCCTGGTCTGGGACCGGGTCGCGGGGGCAGCGGCCTCCGGAAGAGATTCCAGATAAATTCTAGGAGTGTATACTATTATACTGTGTTCTTCATCTAGTGTATGTTGCCTATATTGTGTTATTCATGCTGCTTGTATTATGTTACTCATTCAGTGTATGTTGCCTATATTGTGTTACTCATTCAGTGTATGTTGCTTATACTGTGAGTCTCTCATCTAGTGTTTGCTACTTGCAATGTTGTTTCCTTGTCTTATGCTTGCTACATATGTTGCCACGAAAAGTTCATATTTCATTAGATATATATATATGGGGTGGTAAGGGAAGTGGAATATTCAAATGGCTTCAGGAAGAAATCCAAATATTCTTCCTTGAAGCCTTTTTATCCACTTCTCCGAGGCTATGGGTCCCACAATTTACACCAGAGGTGGACCCCATCCTATATATATATATATATATATATATATATATATATATATATATATATATATATATATATATATATATATATATATATATATATACATGTATATATATATATATATATATATATATATATATATATATATATATAATATATATATATATATATATATATATATATATATATATATATATATACCAAATTGCTTCACTATTTTCTTTGAATTTGGGAATGAGACTTTAGAAGACATCTCATCACGAATGGTTCAGATTAAGCCAAGATGACCATACAGCAGTTTAGATGAAGAGGTGAGGAGAAAGCCAAAAGACAGGTCAAGTGAAGAGAATGTCAGAGGAAAGGTCAAAGGAACTGAGGGGGAGAACAGCGATGAGGTGAAGTCTCTCGAGTTCTGTGGATGCTGACACTGGTCAGCGTGCTAAGAAATTAAACATCAAAGGAATGAAAACCTGGGCTAATAATCAAGTTAATTAATAATGTAGTTGAAAAAGGCTGATTCAATAAGATGGCATCTGAGAAAGCAAGAAAAAAGACAAATAGTTTTGGTAAAGAATAAGTATAGTAGATAACTTTTCTATAAACTTCATCGTCAAAGAGTTCATAACAGTGATCATCAACCTTTATGCACAATTGGGGCACATTTGATGGTCATCTGTGTGATGAGGGCCGCACGGTTTTGTTGACAACGTGCAGTGTGGAACCTATGTAACAGTGAGTTCGTAATTTCATGCGAGGGCCTCATCTATTTCTTAGAAAGGCCACAAGTGGCCCACGGGCCGCAGTGCTGAGATTGCCAACTCAGAATGTTATCCAGCATGATACAAAGTATCATAAGGAAAACTCATATAAAAACTAACCAGAACATAAAATATAAAACTGCTGGTCAGACTGAGGAGAGTCCATCTAGACCAAGAGTTTACATGACCTATGTCTTTCTCTTATGTCACTGTCAATTTACTAAGCAATCCAGATTATCTAATTTATTGTCTTAACATTTATTCCTAATATTTTTTTCATATATTATAACATATACGGGACAAGAGTTACAGGTACCTCAAGTTGATATATATAATATTCAATAATGAAATGATAACTTAGGGTGTTGAAGTGTCAGTTTACACGTACAAGAACACATGAGGACAATACTTAAGCATAACGAAAGTAGTTACACATATAATATACACTTTGTAATCTCAGTAAGGCACTGCTAATGTTTATTATTATATTTAAGGATAATTAGGGAGACATAGAGAACTTTTTATGTAGTGGATGGTAGTCACTTATGGTGGGTGAAGTTAGTTTTGTGTGCTGGTAGCCAGAGGAGTTATCACAACATCGATGCTTCCTTCTGGTCTCAAGAGCACAGGAGATAATGCCACCTTCACCTCCTCGTGGCCGCTCTTTAGACGCAATTTTGCCTTCAGTATCAACTTAGCCAGGGCAACTTTGGCCTCCATCAGGGCAAACCGCATTGCTATAGAAAACAAAAGAAAAATTTATATTACGGCACAATAAATTTTATAATGATTTTACATAATAACTGCAGGAAAAAAAATAATGTATATAATATTACATTTATAAATAACATATTACCACTCTTACCTATGCAGCTCCTGGGTCCCATCCCAAAGGGCATATGAGTGAAATTAGTGATATTGGACTTGTTCTCCGGCAGAAAGCGGTCTGGCAGGAACACCTCAGGTGCCGGCCAGTAGCGAGGGTCGTGGTGCAAACTCCAGATTGGGATGGTCACTAAGTCACCTGGACGCAGTATCACGTCAGTGCCAGGTAGTCTGTCAGGAACACTTTTATTCAGTGAAAAAATAATGACTCAACTTTATACGCAGAAATTTAACTTGAAAGAAATTAAATGGAAAATTGAAAATACATCTAAAAAATAAATGTTGAGCAGAGCCGTAGTGAAACTGGTGGTGTCGTAGTGAAACTGGTGGTGTCGTAGTGAAACTGGTGGTGTTGTAGTGAAACTGGTGTTGTTGTAGTGAAACTGGTGGTGTCGTAGTGAAACTGGTGTCATAGTGAAACTAGTGGTGTTGTAGTGAAACTGGTGGTGCTGTAGTGAAACTGGTGGTGCTGTAGTGAAACTGAGGGGGTTGTAGTGAAACTAGTGGTGTTGTATTGAAATTGGTGTTGTTGTGGTGAAACTGGTGGTGTTGTAGTGAAACTGGTGGTGTCGTAGTGAAACTGGTGGTGTCGTAGTGAAACTGGTGTTGTTGTAATGAAACTGGTGTTGTTGTAATGAAACTGGTGTTGTTGTAATGAAACTGGTGTTGTTGTAGTGAAACTGGTGGTGTTGTAGTGAAACTGGCGGTGTCGTAGTGAAACTGGTGGTGTCGTAGTGAAACTGGTGGTGTTGTAGTAAAACTGGTGGTGTCGTAGTGAAACTGGTGGTGTTGTAGTGAAACTGGTGTTGTTGTAGTGAAACTGGTGGTGCCGTAGTGAAACTGGTGTCATAGTGAAACTAGTGGTGCTGTAGTGAAGCTTGTGGTGCTGTAGTGAAACTGAAGGGGTTGTAGTGAAACTGGTGGTGTTGTAGTGAAACTGGTGTTGAACTGGTGGTGTTGTAGTAAAACTGAAGGGGTTGTAGCGAAACAGGTGGTGTTGCAGTGAAACTGAAGGGGTTGTAGTGAAACTAGTGGTGGTGTAGAGAAACTGTTGTTGTAGTGAAACTGGTGGTGTTGTGGTGAAACCGGTGTTGTTGTAGTGAAACTGGTGTAGTAGTAAAACTGGTGGTGTCGTAGTGAAACTGGTGGCGTCGTAGTGAAACTGGTGGTGTCGTAGTGAAACTGGTGGTGTCGTAGTGAAATTGGTGGTGTTGTAATGAAACTGGTGTTGTTGTAGTGAAACTGATGGAGTCGTAGTGAAACTGGTGTCGTAGTGAGACTAGTGGTGCTGTAGTGAAACTGAAGGGGTTGTAGTGAAACTGGTGATGTTGTAGTGAAACTGGTGGCGTTGTAGTGAAACTGGTGGGGTTGTAGTGAAACTGGTGGTGTTGTAGTGAAACTGGCGGTGTCGTAGTGAAACTGGTGTCGTAGTGAAACTAGTGTCGTAGTGAAACTAGTGGTGCTGTAGTAAAACTGGTGGTGCTATAGTGAAACTGAAGGGGTTGTAGTGAAACTAAAGGGGTTGTAGTGAAACTGAAGGGGTTGTAGTGAAACTGGTGTTGTTGTAGTGAAACTGGTGTTGTTGTAGTGAAACTGAAGAGGTTGTTGCGAAACTAGTGATGTAGTGAAACTACTGGTGCTGTAGTGAAACTGAAGGGGTTGTAGTGAAACTAGTGGTGTTGTAGTGAAACTGGTGTTGTTGTAGTGAAACTGGTGTTGTAGTGAAACCGGTGGTGTTGTAGTGAAACTGGTGGTGTCATAGTGAAACTGGTGGTGTCGTAGTGAAACTAGTGGTGTTGTAGTGAAACTGGTGTTGTAGTGAAACTGGTGGTGCCGTAGTGAAACTGGTGTCGTAGTAAAACTAGTGGTGCTGTAGTGAAACTGAAGGGGTTGTAGTGAAACCGTTGGTGTAGTGAAATTGGTGGGGTTGTAGTGAAGCTGGTTTTGTTGTAGTGAAACTGGTCGGGTTGTAGTGAAACTGGTTGTGTTGCAGTGAAACTGTTGTGGTTGTAGTGAAACTGGTGATGTTGTAGTGAAACTGGTGGTACTGTAGTGAAACCCATGCCTGGTGAAGCAAGTCAAGAAATGAAAAAATGTGCAGAGGTTTGCAAGGAGACTAGTACCTGAGCTGTGGGGTATGTCCTGTGAGGAAAGATCAAGGGAACTCAGGCTGATGATACTTGAGAAAAGGACTGGGGATGAAATGATTACAGCATGCAAAATGCTGAGATGAATTGACAGAGTGGTTAATGAAAGAGAGTTTGAGAGATGGAAAACAGCAATACAAAGGCCTAGCTGGAAGTTGAAAATACAGATGAATCACTGGGACGTTAGGAAGCATTTCCTTAGCCGTATAGTAGTGAGGAAGTACTGTGACTTGGAAAATAAAATTGTCTACATGGAGGGAACTCCAGGGGTCAACGCCCCCATGACCCGGTCCATGACCAGGCCTCACAGTGGGTCAGCACCTTATCAACCAGGCTGTTACTACTAGCCACATGCAATCCAACGTACAAACCAAAGCCCAGCTGGTCAGGCACTGACTTTAGGTATCTGTTCAGTCCCCTCTTGAAGACAGATAAGGGTTTATTGGCAAACCCCTTTATGTACGCTGGGAGACAGTTGAACAGCCAAGGTCTCCTTGTTTATTGTGTGTTCTCTCAGTGTACTCACAGCACCTCTACTGTTAATTGAGGAAATGTTGCAATGCCTCCAAATTCTTAAGCTTTCATAAGAATTGATTTCTGAGTAGACATTTGGGACCAGTCCCTTTTGGATTTTCCAGGTGTAAATTATATCATCTGCCCTCCAAGGAGTACTGGTCTTAGGGTGCTTTGCTGAACTTAAAAGTGCAGTGAAGGTCAAGTGTATGTTCTCCAGATCTGCAATTTATCCCGGTTTGAAAGGGGATGTTAATGTACAGCAGTATTCTAGCCTACAGAGAGACAGTGACCTAAAAAGGATCATCACTGGCTTGACATTCCTAGTTTTGAAGGTTCTCGTTATGCCTCCTATCATTTTCCTCGTAATTATGATAATGACATTCTCGTGTTGCTTGAAGGTGAGAGCCTCTGCCATTATCACTCCTATGTCTTGCTCATTAGTTTCCCGTTTTATTTATGTGCTTAAAATTCATTTCACACTCCATTCAAACTGGAATTTATTGAACATGGTATTGCTTTCTGCTGCCCATTGGAAGACTTGGTTTATATCTGCTGGAAGATTTACAGTGTCCTGAATGGATGAAACTCTCATGTAAAATCTAGTATAGTCTGCAAAGGAAGAACCAGTTGTATGGTTTACATCTTCGTCTGTGTCAATATGAAGACGAATAAAAGGCTAGGGGCAAGGGGAGAGGGAGAGAGGAGGGGGAGGGGGATGGGGAGGAGGGAGAGGGGAAAGGGGGAGTGGAAGGGAGGGAAGGGGTGCCTATATTTATTCACAGGACGAGCTTCCTCGCCTTGGTGATAAAGTGAAAACAGTTTCCTCACACATCAATTAATAAGTTCAGTAATTTGACACAGTGAACCCAAAACTATAAAAATGTATATCATTGTAAATAAAAAAAAAATAATGTCTCCTTTGAGGGCTACATAAAAATAAATTAGTTATAAATAATAATGTAAGTGTAAAACCAACTTGTATGTTTTGGTACATTCCCGCTCCGCGAAGGTGCCGGCCGGGTAGAGTCTCATGCTCTCTGAAATAGAAATATGTAATTAAAATACAAAGTAAAGAATTGGGCAACTTTACTTCCATAGTCATCAAAAGAATTATATTAAAAATGCTTCAGAAGATGCCAGTAAAAGTTATTATTGTTCTCGTTGATCACTTCTTGACGTCCATCATCAATAGTGATACACACCAGTTTACTGTAACTAATGTAAACTAGTACAGTGGACCCCCGCATAACGATCACCTCCGAATGCGACCAATTATGTAAGTGTATTTATGTAAGTGCGTTTGTACGTGTATGTTTGGGGGTCTGAAATGGACTAATATACTTCACAATATTCCTTATGGGAACAAATTCGGTCAGTACTGGCACCTGAACATACTTCCGGAGTGAAAAAATATCGTTAACCGGGGGTCCTCCACTGTATATTGTAAACTCCACGAGCTGGTAGAGGACAACTCGTTTGTACTCAAGATTAGCTCAGTAAATAAATAAATTATACATATTACACAGAATATATCTCTGTATTTACCTCACATGTATCATTTTTCAGTCGAAATATAATAATTATGCATATATGCAAATGGCGGAGTAATGTTTTGTGAAGGGATTTGGGACAACTGGTTAGCCGGACTTGAGTCCTGGAGTTGGGAGGTACAGTGTCTGCACTTTAAGGGGTTTGGGATATTGGCTGTTTGGAGTGACATCTAAAATGTCCTGTCTGAGAGCAGAGGCTCTCAGACAGTGAATGATGGTGGTGTGAATGATGGTAAAACTGTTTCTTTCTTGGGTCACCTGCCTCGGTAGAGAAGGTCCTCGTGCACACCTGGTCACTGATACTCTCCTCGTGCACACCTGGTCACATACTCTTCTCGTGCACACCTGGTCACTGGTACTCTCCTTGTGCACACCTGGTCACTGGTACTCCCCTCGTGCACACATGGTCACTGATACTCTCCTCGTGCAAACCTGGTCACTGATACTCTCCTCGTGCACAAATGGTCACTGATGCTATCCTCGTGCACACCTGGTCACTGATACTCTCCTCGTGCACACCTGGTCACTGATGCTATCCTCGTGCACACCTGGTCACTGATACTCTCCTCGTGCACACCTGGTCACTGATACTCTCCTCGTGCACACCTGGTCACTGATACTCTCCTCGTGCACACCTGGTCACTGATACTCCCTCGTGCACACCTGGTCAATGATACTCTCCTCGTGCACACCTGGTCACTGATACTCTCCTCGTGCACACCTGGTCACTGATGCTATCCTCGTGCACACCTGGTCACTGATACTCTCCTCGTGCACACCTGGTCACTGATACTCTCCTCGTGCACACCTGGTCACTGATACTCTCCTCGTGCACACCTGGTCACTGATACTCTCCTCGTGCACACCTGGTCAATGATACTCTCCTCGTGCACACCTGGTCACTGATACTCTCCTCGTGCACACCTGGTCACTGATGCTATCCTCGTGCACACCTGGTCACTGATACTCTCCTCGTGCACACCTGGTCACATACTCTTCTCGTGCACACCTGGTCACTGGTACTCTCCTTGTGCACACCTGGTCACTGGTACTCCCCTCGTGCACACCTGGTCACTGATACTCTCCTCGTGCAAACCTGGTCACTGATACTATCATCGTGCACACCTGGTCACTGATACTATCATCGTGCACACCTGGTCACTGATACTCTCCTCGTGCACACCTGGTCACTGCTACTCTCCTCGTGCACACCTAGTCACTGATACTATTCTCGTGCACACCTGGTCAGTGACACTATCCTCGTGCACACCTGGTCACTGATACTATCCTCGTGCACACCTGGCCACTGATACTATCATCGTGCACACCTGATCACTGATACTATCCTCGTGCACACCTGGTCACTGATACTATCCTCGTGCACACCTGGTCACTGATACTATCCTCGTGCACATTTGGTCACTGATACTATCCTCGTGCACATCTGGTCACTGATACTATCCTCGTGCACACCTGGTCACTGATACTATCCTCGTGCACACCTGGTCACTGATACTATCCTCGTGCACACCTGGTCACTGATACTATCCTCGTGCACACCTGGTCACTGATGCTATCCTCGTGCACACCTGGTCACTGATACTATCCTCGTGCACACCTGGTCACTGATACTATCCTCGTGCACACCTGCTCACTGATACTATCCTCGTGCACACCTGGTCACTGATACTATCCTCGTGCACATCTGGTCACTGATACTATCCTCGTGCACACCTGATCACTGATACTATCCTCGTGCACACCTGGTCACTGATGCTATCCTCGTGCACACCTGGTCACTGATACTATCCTCGTGCACACCTTGTCACTGATACTATCCTCGTGCACACCTGGTCACTGATACTATCCTCGTGCACACCTGGTCACTGATACTATCCTCGTGCACACCTGGTCACTGATACTATCCTCGTGCACACCTGGTCACTGATACTATCCTCGTGCACACCTAGTCACTGATACTATCCTCGTGCACACCTGGTCACTGATACTATCCTCGTGCACACCTGGTCACTGATACTATCCTCGTGCACACCTGGTCACTGATACTATCCTCGTGCACATCTGATCACTGATACTATCCTCGTGCACACCTGGTCACTGGTACTATCCTCGTGCACACCTGGCCACTGGTACTATCCTCGTGCACACCTGGTCACTGATACTATCCTCGTGCACACCTGATCACTGATACTATCCTCGTGCACACCTGGTCATTGATACTATCCTCGTGCACACCTGATCACTGATACTATCCTCGTGCACACCTGGTCACTGGTACTATCCTCGTGCACACCTGGCCACTGATACTATCCTCGTGCACACCTGGTCACTGATACTATCCTCGTGCACACCTGGTCACTGGTACTATCCTCGTGCACACATGGCCACTGATACTATCCTGGTGCACACCTGGTCACTGGTACTATCCTCGTGCACACCTGGCCACTGATACTATCCTCGTGCACACCTGGTCACTGATACTATCCTCGTGCACACCTGGTCACTGATACTATCCTCGTGCACACCTGGTCACTGATACTATCCTCGTGCACACCTGGTCACTGATACTATCCTCGTGCACACCTGGTCACTGATACTATCCTCGTGCACACCTGGTCACTGGTACTCCCCTCGTGCACACCTGGCCAAGCTTCGTCGACCTGAGTGTCACTTGCTGTTTCTTACTCTGGTATTTAACCATTACCTAAACTCTTAACAACTCTAGTTAAATCAGTCATTCTGATTTTGACAGAATTAATTAATACACAAGTTTCTGTTATTTATTTAATAAGGTAAAATAAATAATAGGAATTTGTGAGATCAGAACATTTATATGGCTAAATAATTTTTGTCAATATATATTCATAATAATTTAAACAATAATTCTTAATGTAAATTAAAGAACATTTATATTAATTCAGAAATGCTAAGTGTTTTACATAAAGGTTTAAACTGGAGTCAAGATAATTGCTCAATTATAAAAATGTTCAGTCATGCCTCAGCTTCACGCTGATCGACACTACAGAGCTGAACATTTATCAAGGTTAAGGGACTGATCACCTCAGAGTTTCTTCAAGGCTGAAGGACTAATCAACTGTTATTTATCTCCACCCCTCTTTTGCTGCCAATATTTATTCTCCTCTATATTTGATTGCAAAAGCCTGCTGAGTAAGCGAAATGTTTAAGAACATAAGAACATAAGAAAGGAGGAACACTGCGGCAGGCCTACTGGGCCACACTAGGCAGGTCCCCCTCAGACCCAGAACAAAACTCACAAACAAAAATACGTGCTTAACTCACCTTCATCTCAACTCATTTCATAACCAGGGAACTATTGAAGAGGGTAACGAAAGAGCTGAAGCACCTGGTCCACCACCAGGGTACTGAAGCACCTGGTCTATCACCAGGGTACTGAAGCACCTGGTCCACCACCAGAGTACTGAAGCACCTGGTCCACCACCAAGGTACTGAAGGAGCGGAAGCACCTGGTCCACCACCGGTACTGAAGCACCTGGTCCATCAGCAGGTTACTGAAGCACCTGGTCCACCACCAGAGTACTGAAACACCTGGTCCACCACCAGAGTACTGAAGCTCATTGTACATTACCAGGGTACTGAGGCACCTGGTGCATCATCAGAGCACGGAGACACCTTGTCCAACATCAGAGTACTGAAGCACCTCGTCCATCACCAAAGCACTGAAACACCTCGTCCATCACCAGAGTACTGAAGCACCTGGTCCACCACAAGAGTACTGAAGGAGCTGAAGCACCTGGTCCACTACAAGAGTACTGAAGCACCTGGTCCATCGCCAGGGTACTGAAGGAGCTGAAGCACCTGGTCCACCACCAGGGTACTGAAGCACCTGGTCCATGACCAGGGTACTGAAGGAGCTGAAGCACCTGGCTCACCACCAGAGTACTGAAGCACCTGGTCCACCACCAGGGTATTGAAGAAGCTGAAGCACCTGGTCCACCACCAGAGTACAGAAGCACCTGGTGCATAACAAGGGTACTGACGGAGCTGAAGCACCTGGCTCACCACCAGAATACCGAAGAACCTGGTCCACCACCAGGGTACTGAAGGAGCTGAAGCACATGGTCCACCACTATAGTACTGAAGCACCTGGTTCACCTCCAGAGTACTGAAGCACCTGGTCCACCACCAGGGTACTGAAGCACCTGGCTCACCACCAGAATACCGAAGCACCTGGTCCACCACCAGTGTACTGAAGGAGCTGAAGCACCTTGTCCACCAGCAGAGTACTGAAGCACCTGATCCATCACCAGGGTACTGAAGCACCTGGTCCACCACCAGAGTACTGAAGCACCTGATCCATCAACAGGGTACTGAATGAGCTGAAGCACCAGGTCCACTAACAGAGCACTGAAGCACCTGGTCCACCACCAGTGTACTGAAGGAGCTGAAGCACCTTGTCCACCAGCAGAGTACTGAAGCACCTGATC